CAAGTTGTTATGGGTAAAGTTCCAAAATCAGGGCATGAAGAATTAAAGAGGCAGATTTGTATGGTCAATTTATACAAAGAGTGGTGGCATTTTGTATTGCAAATTTGCCAAAAAATGGTTAAAAGCATTTATTGGGGATGTGATACACTTGGCACTTTTCACTGTATCTTGTGGTCCTGTTGTGTGCTCTACATGGTCCAGTAACTATCACAATAAGAATTTGTACTTATTGTATAATCTTTTCCTTACAATCCCTTGAGGGACACAGGAATGTGGTAAGTCTTAGACATAAGAGTTATATGCACAGTGTACAGAGGACTCTAGCAAACTGAAAAAACATTAAACGCCATCACCCGTAAAACCATATGATTCAGATTTGTGAGAAAGTAGGACATAAGGCCAATAAACACACAGGAATGGGATCTGCGTTTCCCAGTGGCCTTCAAGAAAAAGATTTTAGGATAAGTATACAAATCTTATTTTTGTTCATGGAGGGATGCAGGAACATCCAAATGCAGTCCAAATGTTGTGAAAATCTTACTAGAAGAATATCTGAAGGAATTAATTTCTGAACCAGAAAAAATAAAAAAAGAAGCAGCAAATATAAAAATACCAACAAGGAAAGGCACTATATGAAGGATCTGGTCACATTTTAGTTTAACATCACACCATCCGTGGGCCTACTCAGAGAGTGATTCTATAGAGGCTAGGTCACACCACAGGCTGTGCCATGGTCCTGAAGCTGGCGAGTGCTCAGCGGCTAAGTAACGTAGTACATGAAGGTCTTAAAAGCACCACTGGCAGAGCGCAGTGCCTGAGAGCCACATTCCAGGCTAGCCCCAAGCAAGGCTTTTGCTGCAAACTGATTCAGTTAAACTGATTCAGACTGCTGTTGTACCAGCTTAAACAGCATATTAAATGTCTTGATCGAAGAAAAAAAAAAACATCTGTGGAGAAGTGAGTATGTCAATAGAAAAAAAGAGATCAGTAAAAAAAAACAAATAGCAAAATATATTTATAATTTTACTCAGTAGAACTAAGGAAAAAGGGTCCAACCTCTTTAGGACAGTAGATAAAAAAAAAAAACCTTGATGGTTAAGGGTGGGGATTTATGGGAGTTGGTCTTCAGCATTTTTTTTTCTTTTTTGCCAGTGTCCATCTCCTGTAGGCAGCTACACATAACCCACATGGCTTAAGACTACTACCTCCCTGTGTACATCAATGGACAATAAAGAAATATCTACCATTCTGCAACATTCCCTACCGAGGAACCTGGCAATGCCTTTCTTAGTAGAAAATCTATCCTAATCATCATTAGCTTTATTTGCTAATCTTCCACTCTCAACCCTTCAAAAGTGTTATCAGGTTATCCTGGGCCCTCCTGAATGAAAAAAACACCATGACTAAATTCAAACGAGTTGGGTCCCTGTGGGTGGTAGATTTCCTTCCTTCAGATTTTCTTCCACCAACTCCTCAACCTCTATTATTTATTTAGCATAATTCAATAGGCTGTGCCAGGACTCCCAGCTGTCACCACATTCTTCTGCAATATCCTATAGCTTTTATCTATATGGCCATAATAAATGACACACTTTTACTGGTAAGCACTTTCCATATTCTAACAAATGTTAATGCCTGTAATGGTTGTCTGTATGGTCCAATAATGTACATTGTCCAGGTTACTAGAAAAATACAGATGTTATTATACAATGTGTCTGTAATGTGATCTAATGTGATGCTTCCCCTTTATACTGTTACTGAAAGAACTCAATAAAACAATAATCTATCGAACAAAAAAATAATAATGTCTGCTGACAAGAAGAGCAGGAGAACACATCACAATAAAAATATATAATACTGAATTTAACTCATGAAATGTCATGAAACTTTGAAATGTCTTTTTTACAAAACAAAATGATTACAAAGACCCAGAACAAACCTGTATGAGCTCATGCCGCTGTAGGTCCCACTTCTTGATGCCATTGTCTCTGGAACCACTGCACAAGATATTATCCTGTACAGCCAAGCACTCAATGCCATCATAATGTGGAGGCTCCAAGTTGTAGGTAGGAGAAATGCTGCCTCCCCACCCAGAGTGCAATTCAAATATCTGAAGATGAAAAATAACAAACGAAAACAATTAGTTGAATGTATATAATGGTGTAGTTATATGATTAAAGAAAATACATTTCATATATATTATTTTCATAATATATATTTCATTTGAATGAGTTGAACATATATGAAGGGTTAAAGGCATACAAACTGTTTAGTAGGAGCAGGTGCAGCTGTGTTTTTTTGTCTGAAGAGCTTGCTACATGCATGTCTGTAGATCTTCATGTTAGCTTTTAATTGCTGCTGTGGTTAGCAGTCAGCTGGCTTTTTAGCTGTCTTTTTATGGATATGTAAGTGTCAGCTATATCTATTTGCAACTTGTTGGCCTCTAGTAGCACTAACAGAAAAGCACAATGTGCAATAATTAAATGATTTTGAGCAGCTAGTCCAAAGCAGGTCCTGTCTGTATCAGACATCAGGGGGTTTATTTACTAAAGCTGGAGAGTCCAAAATCAGACTCCCTTCTGCATAGAAACCAATCAGCTTCCAGGTTTCATTGCCAAAGCTTCATTGAACAAGCTGAGGTTAGAAGCTGATTGGTTTCTATGCAGAAGGGAGTCTGATTTTGGACTCTCCAGCTTTAGTAAATAAACCCCCAGGTGTCTGTAGATCTTCATGTTAATTATATAATTTAATTACATTACACCTGCAGAGCAGCAACACCAATTTGTAAAAGAATAAGCATTTTTATAAGAAAGTAATGTAAAATCCCTGTAGGTTCCCCTCCCACCACCGTACAAACACTTTAAAAACAATACCAGCCAGCCAGTAAGATGTGCAGATGAGGACTGTCATTATTTTCTATGGCATTTCCCCATTATACTGCCATATGCATATAGGCCCTGTGCTAAACTTTAAACAAAATGATGCACAGGGAATGATGGCAACAAACAAGTGGAAAATCTAAAACCCTTTAGATTAGCTTTATCAATTAATAAGAAATTAACTTGAACAAATGCAATATTATAATAAATATACACATATCCAAAGCACAGTTCTTTACTAAACTTCAGTCTTGTGGCACAGTGTTTCTTCATCATAAATATTGCAGTTTATTCTTCATAGAGCACTAACTGCTCTACAGGCACAGTGGAACAACGCCTACAATTTCTGGTACACAATCTGTTTTAGAGCCATATGAAAGCTATCGGAGGAGGGCTTTTGATTCAATGAGCTGAAGAGGAGTATATTTCCTGGTGCTCTCTTCTGAAGCCATACTAGGGCTATACTGTAGGTGGAAGAATAACTAAAGTAATCAACAGTAGATGAGTAGAGAGTACCTGGGACACAATATGTTCCTAAGCCATACCAGGGCTATAGGTAGAAGGATTCCTGATTTAATCCTGTAGAAAGGAGTTAGGCCCTTTTCACACAGGTTTTCCAATTAGGTCTGCTTGTCAGTTTTTCAGAAGCTCTATGGGCAGGTGGATGTAAACAGACTTGTGTTCATTTACATCTGCCTGCCTCTGAGTCTGTCCAGGTCTGGAAAAAGAAAATAGGTAGTATTCCTAAATTGAATCAGCTGAGAGATGCAGATTAGCTGGAGTTGCTGGCGATATGTCCAACATACTGAGAGTGAAATGTTCTTTCCCCATGTCTATGGGGCATTTTTTTTTTTAACTGTAAATCTTTTTATGGCATCTTTAATTTTATTTGAACCGGCTCATGCATCCACAATATTATATTTATCTCTGGTGTTTCTGAACTTTGGAGAGGTGTGTGAATAAGGTATATGTGACTAAAGTTGATAGTAATTTTTTATTTTTACCTAACATTTTATATTAAACAATACAATATCTGCATTCAAATGTTCCCTGTGGGCACACATGCTATTGATATCTGAAATAAAATGTATAGTACAATCCCTTTAAATTTACACAAAACTATACATTTACAATGTAAAATGTTATACCCAGGTATGTTTTATTAACTGATAGGGTGATAAATTAAAAAAAATGCAAATGGGGAGAAAATTCGTAACCTTCACATAATGATCTTTGGATCCGGTGATAACTAGGTCTCGCCCATTCGGTGTGTTGCTGACTGTTAGACACATGACTGGAGCCATGTGACCCGTTAGTTTCCCAATGAGCTGAAACCTGCAGTGGTATGAAAAAAAAAAAAAAGCTGCACTAAGGCAGGTGTAAAATACTGCCAAATCAGTGTATTGCATTGTTTTCCACAGGATTTAATTCCCAAGAGCTCCCCAACTGTCCATATACCACTTGAAATTCGGGTAATTATATGAAATCCATCTAAATATGTTAACATAAACATTTTACTATTCACATAATAAATACCTATTTTTTCTATAGGGAAGACATATGAAAATACTTAGAAATAACCAATTACAATCTACTACAAAAGCAGCCCCACAAGGTCACCTTTTGCCATATGCCATTTTCATGGTCCAGGATGGCACAAACATTCATCATTTTCTATGCTGAAAGAGCACACTTGTGGTGTTGCCTGAATCTAATTATAACTGTGCACTTGAAGAGGTCAGTTATATGCAGCACTGCCAGTACAGAGCTGCTTCATGCTTTTCGAGACCACACTGAGACCTATGCTTTTCTCCTGACCACAATTATTCTGATATAAAGGACTCTGAAAAAGAACACTACATTCTCAATGATTTTTTAATTTGCTAAACATAGATAATAACTAAATTAGACCTAATGCTACACTGTCCCTACTAATCATTGGTTAGTACAGCTAGTCAAAAGTAAACACAGCAAACAATAATTGTTAATCAAATATATTCTAATATCATATAACAGACAAAGTACTTTTCTGATAATGTAATGAAAAAAAGCACATTAGTGGAACAAGCAGTAAAGCGAGTATGTGTAAAGGTGCCTTATAATGCCAAACAAACAATCTACTTAGTATGCATAACTGCACCTGCTCAGCTCCCAAGCTCTCACTGCATTCCCGGCTGCTACATACAAAGTGGTTCCATCAGAATTTAGAGCAATCTGGTTAATCTGCAGTTCTCCCTGACTGCTCATAGAGCGCAGACCCAAACCTGAGCATGCATCTCCTGATACCACTTGACCTGATGACCTGATGAACGAAAAATAAACAGTGATGTTGGCAAACTGCAATAACAACATATACATAAAGTTTATCAAAATGATCTCAGAGAAAAGGATCACAACTAGAGTAGAGAATACAGATACTGTATATCTAATAATATGTGTGAAGTGCTCTACAAAACTCTATGTTGGCAAGATGTGTCAGATCCTACATCAATAAATCCACACATAATCAGAATTAAAAACAAATTTTGCAATTTCAGTTGCAGTTTTTGCCTGTGTCAAAAAAGCATGTTTTCCCTATGGTCTTAACTCAAAAATATATGAATGTTTCACAAAGAATTTAACTCTCACCATGATGCTGTGCCATGATTCCTTATCTCTGTCAAGTTTCCAAAACCTCTGTTAAGCCCAATCATTCTGTATATACAGTTACACCCATTACACATGTGTCGGGGACAAAAAAGTTGTATTTTGTTGTTACATCTTTGTTGTTCTATGTATAAATATGTGGTTATTAGACCCAATATTGTATAATGCCTGGCAAAAAAAACCTAATGTGCTACAAAACCTTCCATCTTTAAAAAGTCAATGAAATACTTTATAATCAATAAAGGGGTATCAGTTTATATTTAACAGTGGCTACAACAGTACAACTCTATTCCACACAAAACAAAAATACTTACATAAGTGTCCGCACACACCGTGCAGAATCTCGAGTATCCCAGACCCGAACACAAGAAGCAGATGCGGTAAGTACAAGTCCAGAGTCGGGACTGTGCTTTAATGATACCACGTTGTGTGGATGACCACGGAGGGAACCAATTTCTTGACCAGTGACCAAGTTCCATAGCTTGCAAGTGCGGTCTTTGGATGTAGTAAGAGTAAGATATATTTTTACAATGTATTGACCAAAACATAGAATACTATATATCACCATAAGAAAGAGTTCCTTTAATCAGGTTAGAATTGCAAAAGATATATAAACTATAGTTGTGCTAAAAGGAATCACTAACTTACAGATAACAGAGTTTCTGAATTCAGAAATATTTTAAACTTAACGAGGAGCTTCAGCCATATGTATAAAAAATAAAAGTCAGCAGCTATGAAAACTATATCTGCTGACTTTTAATAAACAGGTACTCACCTGTTATAGGGTCCGGAAACATCCTCACCTGAGCTGGTTTCTTCTTTGGTCCCCGGTGCCGACATCTGAACTGTGGGCAGCCGGTTGTGACTGCTTGTGGCTTCATAGCTGGTTGCCCACTATGCATGCGCGAGTCACTCTGCGGTATCTCAATGATCTTCTGGGACCTGTGCTGTCTCCCCAAAGACTAAGGGGAGGAGTAAGGTGAGAGGGGAGGAGAACTTCTGCTCAGAATGCCTAAGTGGGAGCGGGTACCTGTCAAAACAAGGTACCTACTCCCCCCCCCCCCCCCCTAAAAAATGATGGGGATGGGTTGAGGAAGAGAGGAACTTCCCCTTTTGGGTGATGTCTCTCTTTAAAATATAACATTTTCAAAAATTAACAGCTTAAGCTCCAATACCTTTACACCCTTTATGGACCAAAACAATGTTTAGATTTCCACTATAGGCCTGTTTATTCAGTGAAAACTTTGTCATTTCTTAAGATGAAACATTTTTTTTAGAGACAAACTAGCTTTCTTTTGGAAAAATTGTCCTGCAAAAAATATTTTATTTTCTCTGCAATCTATAAACAAAAAGGATGAAAAAAATCTTTTTTTCTATTTTGACCAGTTTAGTGTTAGTTTAATAAACATTTTTAATGTAAAAAAAGGATGCATTTTATTTGATAAAATGTCAATAAAATAGTGTTTCTGGTACAAAGTATAGTGGAACTAATTGCAAATAAAAAAGGTGTTTTTTTTTTTAAATTTTGCACATTTAATTATGTAAACATTTAAAGAAAAACACATAAAATGTATATAGATAAAAAAGATTAAATATAAATGTTAAAAAATTCACATTGAATAAAAATTATCAGCAAAATAATATCTACAAAGTGAAAAGTTATTTAGGGTTGACTCGAGTTAATAAAGTGCTAAATTTAACTAAAAAGTTCGAGTTAATAAAGTGCTAAATGGTGCTTTTATTATTATTATTTTTTTTTTTAAATTAAACTTAAATTTTCTTTTTCTTTAAAGTGATGTTCTATGCAGAGCTATGATCACATATCAATGAGCAACATTAGCATTGTTACACTGTATTACTCAATGACACCTCAATAGTCATCTGCAAGTGACAATTTACACAGCAGCACTGCATTTTGACAGCTGCTCCTGCTATGGCAGACAGTAATTTCTGATAATAGCAGCTGGGGAGTGATAACAGAGGGTGACGAGCTGAATCTCTAAGTGGTTCAATGTCAAATATTTTATATAATATACTGTCTAAAAGTTTTAGGTAGGTGTGAAGAAATGTAAAGTAAGAATACTTTCAAAAATATAAATTTTAATTGTTTATTTTTTATCAATTTTCAAAATTCAAATTGAGCGAACAGAAAAAAAAATCTAATTCAAATCAATATTTGATGTAACCACCCTTTGGTTTCAAACCAGCATAAATTCTTACACTTACATACTTTGTACACTTGCACAAAATCAGGGATTTTGTAGCATAAGAATCAGAGGTATAATTAACTAATTATACCAAGCAGGTGTTAATTATCATCAATTTCACACACTGAAACACAAACAGTTGTGTAGGAGGCTTAAGACTGTGTGAAGAACAGCCAAACCCTGCTAATAAGCTGAGGTTGTAGAAGATTGTTTCATGTCACCGCTCATAAACAATGGCAAGACTGAGCACAATAACAAGATATGCACCAGCAAGATCTCTACCAAGCAAAGATTTCAAAGCAAACTGGTTGTTTCAAGATGTGCTGTTCTAGTTCTTTTGAAGAAGCACAAAGAAACAGGCAACACTGAGGACAATAGAAACAGTGGTCAGCCAAGGAAACAATGTAACCAATGAAAGCAACATCATGCTTACGTTCCTTCAACATAGGAAGATGCCATCAGCACAGATCTGGCAGACACCAGTGGGATCCACACACACCCATCTACTGTCCAGTGAAGTCTGGCCAGAAGTGGTCTTCATTGCAGAATTGCTGCCAAACAGCCATAACTTCGGCATGGAAACAAGGCTAAACCTCATTTCCTTGTTTCTAGTTGTTGCAACTATGCATTAAAACATTGGGGTGCAGAAAAATGGCAGCAGGTGTTCTGGATTGATGAGGCAAAATTTGAAATATTTGGCTGTAGCAGACAACAGTTTGTTCGCAAATGGCTGGAGAGTGGTACAATAATGAGCGTCTACAAGCAACAGGGAAGCATGGTGGAGGTTCCTGCAAGTTTTTGGGGCTGCATTTCTGCAAAGAGATTTGGAGATTTGATCAGGATCAATGGTGTCCTCAATGAGAAAACAGAGAGAGATCCACCATGCCATACCATGCATGTGATTGTCCAAAAAACATATAAACATGGACTCATGGCTCAAACCAATCCCAAACTCTATAGTGATATTAATTTTAATCTGATGGTAAAGGTGAACAAAATAAAGATTAATTACAGACAGATGTCCTTATAAATCTTTATTAACACTCATAAAAATAAATAATTGTGAAGACATATAACAAAATGGCACCTAGTGAGTTAAAATGTACACAAAAAAGCACCTCTCATGTCCCCAAATGCACATTTATATAAATACCATTATGACATACTGTATGTATTGGCTTTATCGCATAGCAATCAATAGGCACAGTCCAATATGGGTTGACCCTGAGAGCCAATAAGAATGGGTAAATGGATGAGTATAAACTGGGAGTGGTTCCTTTGTCTGTTAAAGAATATCCTTATATTTAAATTAGTTGCAATATTTTCAGCAATATAAAAGATCTAGAAGAGTGGAAATGTTCCTTAAAGCACAGTAGAAGGATATCATTGAATATCATGGATGTAGATGTAATCCTGGAGATCCAATTCAAACAGGAATAATCACTGTGGTCCAGAGGAGGAGATAGCGGGCAGATGGATAAATGAAGATACTGTATCTTCTTCCTTCATAATCGCCTCATACCTCCCTCGCACAGGTATCCAGCATAGACAGACATAAACAGCCTTATCCTTTATGTGTAAAACAAAGACTGAAGAAGTTATAGACATCCATCATGGGCAAAAATATTCACTGTAGTCCAGAGGAGGAAATAGTGGGCTGATAGAGAAACAATTACATGATGACCTCATGCACAGACATCCAGCATATGCAGATAGCCTCATCCATAACATAGTAAAGAATTGTACTCCATAGATGTCTCTCACAGTGCCCATGAATCATACAAAGCAGTTAAGGCCATAAATGTAGCTGTTATAGGAATCCCAATATAATTATCAGTCTCTAATATTAAAGATCAAACTGGTTTAAAAGAAAAGAGGGGCCCATAGCGGGTGTAAAAAGCCTGACTGTTTTAGCCAGTCAGCCATTATATAGTCAAGATGGCTGCCAAAGTATCAACTGTGCATGCGTGGTGCGTAATGATGTCATGACGCACGCATTGTGGAAATTGTGGAAATCCACAGCCAGGACTATAACTTAAATGAATTACAAAATATCTAAAATGATGAATAACAATACATTTAAAATACATTCAATGACATCAGTCACTGGGAACAAAATCAATGAATTCTATCCAATCTTCGTCATTCCAGTAATATGTCACCTTTCAAAATCCATCTGGTCTATAATTATTCTAATCTCAACTTCATATTCTGTAATAGCATATTGCACAAATTTAAAATTTCCCCCCACCCAAAAAAAAAACAAACAAAAGAGACGGGGCAGCCTCCAATCAATGCAGCATTTCTATGAATGTAAAAATGGAGCAAAACTTAAGCAATCATTGAAGCCAGGTTGTTTGGTTGCTTCAAGCTCGAAATCCACCTGGCCTCAGGTTGCAGAAGGACCTGGTCAAAATTGCCCCCCCCAAAGATACCGGGGTACCTCCTCAACTACCTGGTATTTTTCCATCCAGGCAGGATGGATCTCTATTATGCTCATTCTCTTTCCTTCACATGCCAAGTAAGGGGGCCTTCAAATGATAGGTGGATCATAAACATGTTCCTGAAATCGTGTTCGGGCTGGGCCGTAGGTCTTTGCGACATAGAAGGACCAACAGAGGCATGTGATAATATATATCACACCAGTGGTGTCACAAGTGACCCTCTGATTGCATCTGAGGGTCCTTCCCGTGGGCAAGACCAGCCTATTCCCCTGGATGACATGGGGACAAAAGTCACACTTACCACATTTAAACATACCAACATTCCTAGGGCTATTCGGGGTTTTCAAGTAATATCACTACAGTATATACAAGAAAATCCCCTAAGGAACACGCCCTATGATGTATAATTTGGGGTCCATGGCACAACTATTGTGGTCTGTTTGATACTGCAGTCGGACTCTTTCTTATTCTTTGAGAAGCAAGGGGGTACGCTGGGAGTTCTGGCACGGAGGGCCTTCATTACGCAGTGTGCGTCTTATTGTCTGGCTGAAACTTCTGTACCCACAGAAATCAATTTACCCACTAGGGCAGGGGTGGGGCAACCTGCAGCTCTCCAGCTGTTGCAGGACTACAAGTTCCATCATGCCTCTGCAAGTCATAGCTGTAACTGTCAATTTTACAATCTCTCATGGGACAGGTCTACAGGTAGTCATGCTTGTAACTTCTGGCCTTTGCAATGCCTCATGGGAAATGTAGTTCCACAACAGCTGGAGAGCCGCAGGTTGCCCAGACCTGCACTAGGGGATCATCAGACAACAAATGCCAATGGCTGGCACATACAGTTGTGTTCAAAATAATAGCAGTCAGACATCACTAACCTGGTCAATCACTGTTTTTGGTAGAAATGATATTTCTAC